CTCAAATCAATCAATCAATCAATGAATCTTAAGAAAAAGAACACTGTTGGCCTTGTTTATTCTTTTTTTTGAAAGAAGTTTTTCCTTCCTTCTTTTTTGTTTCAAGTTTTTATTTGAATTCTAGTTAGTTAATATACAGTGTAATGTTAGTTTCAGGAGTAGAATTTAGTGATTTATATAATACCCAGTGCTCATCTTAATAAGTGCCCTCCTCAGTACCCATCACCACTCTCTCCAGAGGTAACCACTATCCTAAATTTGGTGTTTAACATTTCCATAAGGATTTATAAATTATAAATAAATTAATAAATTATAATTTACCAATTACATAGTTAATAACTACAAACCATGTATGGGATTATTATGTATGTTGTAAAGCTAAGTAAATGGTATCAAACTATATACACATGTTTTACAACTATTTTACTAAATATTCTATTTTGGGAACTTGTTCATATTGAGATATATATATATATATGTATGTGTGTGTGTATATATATAAATATAAATGCATATAAATATAAATAAATATATATGCATATATATATATAATCAAGTAGAAGCAGAAAACTTTTCCCTTCTTCCCTTCTATGTTCTTTGGCTACCCTAATAATTAAATTGACATAAGACAGGGTAACAGGAAAAAAATTTAATTTCATATGTTTGGGAGCCCCATAAAAATATGAGACTCAAAAGCAGTCAGGCAGTTCAGGCTTGTATACCATCCTGAGCTAAGGAGATGCAGGTCTGGGGCTTCATTGGGGAGGAAGGCAATTCACAGGAAGGCAAGAAGAGCAAATGGTTGCCATGCCATGCAGATAAGTCTTTCTTTCTTTTTTTCTTTCCAACAGTTTTTATTCCTCAAAAAAAGCAATTAATTATTTCTAATATTGTTAAAAACATTACAATGAAATGATGAAATAATTAAATTAGTTCTTAACCTCATATATGACTTTCATCATAATGCACTTTAGTATTAAGAATTATTGCACAAATAAGAGTTTTAAGAGATAATTATTCCCAATATTTTTTTTCACCCCATCCCTCCCACCCCACCCCCCATTCCAGCAACCCTCAGTTTGTTTCCTGAGATGAAGAATTCCTCCTATCAGTGAGGTCATATGATACATGTCTTTCTCTGTTTGACTTATTTCGCTCAGCATACAGATAAGTCTTTCTGATACAAAAAGTGGTCTCTGGTAATAGCTGTCTCCCTGGTACAGGTTTCCCATCTAAATTCTCTTGGACAGTTAAAGGAGAGGTACAAACAACTCTTCCTGAGTCTGCTAGGCCTTGATTGCCTTCAGCTCAAAATCATCCATATGCCAAAGTGGCATATTTTGGGGTGTTGTATTCTACCCTCTCCATATACATGCCATCAATTTTAACTGCTGTATAGCATTCTAGTATACAGATATTTCTCTATTACTCTATTCTTCTGTTGAGCTTTTAAGTTGTTTGTAACATTTTGGTGACTCTTGTGTGGTTGTCAGATTGCTTCCTAAGTGGTTACCAGTTTGGACCTTATTGCTCCATGTCATCCCCAAAACTGGATATGGTCAGAATTTAGTTTTTTCTAATCTGATGGTTATGAAATGGTATTTCATTGTGTTTTAATTTTCTGTTCCCCTGAGAATCATTTTAAAAATGCCACTTGGCCATTCAGATTTCTATTTTGGAGAATTTTCTTTTTATAAGTTTGGCTGTTTTTTCCTAATTTGATATTTGTAAGTTCTTTGTACAATCTGGCTATTAGTCAGTTGTCTACAGGCATTGCAAAAGTTTTACCCTAGTCTGTGTCTTATCTTTTTTATATTTTGAGAGTGTCTTTTGATTTACAGACATTTAGAATTTAATTGTAGTAAAATTCATGAATTTTTTCTTTGTGGTTTTTATATTTCTTGTTTAAGACTTCAGTCTACTTTGAAGTCATAAAGATATTGTCCTGTATTTTTCTTTAACATATAAAAATGTTTGGCTTATCACACTTTAGGTCTTTAATTCACTTGGAATTGATTTTGTGTATGGCATATGAAATGGAGGTATAATTTTTTTTACATGGAAAACCAATGATGGTGGCACTATCTATTGAAAGGTTTGTCCTTTCCCACCAAGATGCGGAGTCATTACTGTTATATGTGAGGTGTGTATGGGTCTGTTTCTGGATATTCCACTGCTCTATGTGTCTGTTCTTACAACAATTACATACTGTCCTAAATAATATAACTTTGTAATATCTTTTATATCTGATGACTTTCCTCTTCCTTATTTAAAATTTGTCCTGGTCATTAAAAAAAAAAGATTTTATTTATTTATTTGACAGAAAGCAAGAGAGCACAAGCAGGGGGAGCGGCAGGCAGAGGGAGAGGGAGAAGCAGGCTCCCCGCTGAGCAAGGATCCTGATGCAGGGCTCGATCCCAGGACTCTGGGATCATGACCTGAGCCAAAAGCAGATGCTTAACCAACTGAGCCAACCCAGGTCATTTTTAATTCTTTTTTCTTCTATATATAAAAAAATTTGGAATTAGTGTGTCAAGTTTCACAAAAAGCCTTGTGAAGACTTTAAACAAAATCAACTTTATTGAGATATAGCTTTCATATGATAAAGTGCATCTGTAGAACAATTCCATCACTCTTGTGCTCCCTTGTGTTCCTCTTTCTAGCCTATTCATAAATCATAAGTTCTACCCCCATTCCTAGTTAACCACTAATCCTGTTTTTATCTTTAGTAAGTCTCATGTAAATGGAATCATATTGTATGTACTCTTTTGTGTCTGGCTTCTTTTGATCAGTATAATGTTTTTGAGGTTCGTCCATCATGTATATCAATAGTTAATTCTTTTTTCCTTCCTAAATAGTGTTTCATTGTATCGTTGCACCACCGTTTGTTTATCTATTCATTGGTTGCTTTTGGGTTGTTTCTAGTTTCAGGCTCTTATTAAAGCTGCTATGAACATTCATGTAAAAATGTAAAAATCTTCATGTGGACATATGTTTTCATCCCACCTAGGAGCAGAATTGCTGGGTAATATAGTCAGGTATATTTAACCTTATAAGAACTTGCCACACTATTTTCCAAAGTGACTATGTCATTTTATTTTTCCACTTGTTATATCTACACCTGGTGTTGCCGGTGTTTTTACTTTTGGCCATTCTAATGGTATGTAGTAGTATCTCAGTATGTTTTAACTTGCATTTCTTTGATGACTAATGACATCATGCATCTTTTCATGTGCCTGTTGGCCATCTGTACATCTTTTTTTGGTGAAGTGTTCATTCAGATCTTTTGCTCATTCTTAAATTGAGTTGTTTGTCTTATCCTTAAATTTTAAAATTCTTTATATATTCTGGGTTGTTTTTGAAGGATAGGACCTTGGAGAAAAGCTTTCTGAGTTTGTTTCTAGTCTGACCACCTATGTGTGAGAATGAAATGAAGCAGAGATGATACAGACCTCAGTATTTGATCACCATTATTTATTATCAATTTTAATGCAATCCAGTTATTTAGATCCAAAGACTTGAAACAAATTTATTATAGTAAAACCAATGAACTATATAGCAGTGGCAGATAGTCTTCCTTTCCATCTGGGCACAAATGATATTTTCCTATGTGGAAAGACCAAAGTAGATTGGAGACATTGTATTTTCATGCTATTGCTCTTCCTTTTTTAAAAATTTTTTATTGTTATGTTAAACACCATACATTACACCATTAGTTTTTTTAAAAATTTTTATTGTTATGTTAATCACCATACTTTAGTTTTTGATGTAGTGTTCCATGATTCATTGTTTGTGTGTAACACCCAGTGCTCCATGCAGAATGTGCCCTCTTTAATACCCATCATCAGGCTAATGCATCCTCCCACTCCCCTCCCCTCTAGAACCCTCAGTTTGTTTTTCAGAGTCCATCGTCTCTCATGGTTCGTCTCCCCCTCCGATTTCCCCCCCTTCATTTTTCCCCTGCTATCTTCTTCTTCTTTTTTTTAAACATATATTGTATTATTTGTTTCAGAGGTACAGGTCTGTGATTCAACAGTCTTGCACAATTCACAGCGCTTACCATTTGCTCTTCCTTTTTTAACCTGGGGCAAATTCTTAGGAGCAGGGGGCAAGAACTTTCTTGCTGAAACCAAGTTAGAGTCCACATTTGGATCCTTTAATCCTGAAGGGTCCATCGCTGCTCTTTAAAAAAGAATGCTCTTCCTCACTGGCAAGGGAGAAGCTCCTGGGGCCACTTTTTAAATGCCACTTGTTAACTTGCTGACTAAAGATTTACCCAAGAATAGGGTCTTGATGGTTTTGGTAAGGAAACAATCAACGCTGCATTTTTGCTTTTAGAATATTCCCCATTCTGTCACTGTCCAATGTGGGGGATACCACAATTATGGTCCATGTTGCTATAAGAGAGGCTTTGGACCCAGAACTGGTAATGCATTTCTAATACTTTGTTCTGTAGACTTAAGATGAAAGCTTTAGCAATGAGCTCTCAAAAAGATACCTCAACTAAACCTCATGCTTCTCGTATGCTTTGTATTATTCTTTCAAAGTGACTCCTGCACATAATTTGTTCAACTCAGTGTTTCCTAACAAAGTGCCCACAATACCCTACATTCTTCTGAGGGATTGATAACAAGGAATAGAGTACATGTTTAGAAGAAGAAATAGATATACCCACTTTTAAAAGCAGTTTTATAATGAATTGCTTATCTGTAACAGTTTTGCAGTTCTTAAATGGCTACTTGAATTAATTTCACTTCTGTTTATTATTCATCCCTAGAATTGGCACCTCTGCTCTTGGATGTATTCATAGAGTGGCATGCTGCTAGGGAACTGGGAACTTGGGCCGGTACTTCCCCTTGCACAATTATCTCCTCCTCTCTTATAACAATAGTCACCTTGTCGATTACCCTCCTTGCAAATTAACAATGTATTCGTAGTGTTGGATCTAGACTGTCCATAGGAGGGTGTAAATTGTCCAGAGCCACAACTTGAGGAGCTTTCTACTTGTCTATAACTGCGTCTTGATTGCCCTTCATTACAATTTGAATGGATACAGTCAGATTCCCATTGACCTTGGCTCCATCCTTGGCTTTGTTGCCTACATGTTCTTGATTGTCCATGAATACTCTCATATCCATCAGGCCCACTACCTGATAGGCCATAATTCCTACCTCTTTCTTTTTGGCCACACTCTGACCATTCCTGGCTATTGCTTCTTGATTGATTAGGGGTTGAGCACATTTTGGGTCTAAGGTACTCACTATGAGTTCCACTTGAACTTGACCTACATTTCCCTTGTGTTTCATGTTGCTCATAGCTAGAACACTGACCAGATTCAGAACCACATTGCCCAGAGCTAGGTGAGTGACATGAACCAGATCTGTACTGTTCAGAGCCAGAATACTGACCAGATCCAGAACCACATTGTCCAGAGGTAGATGAGTGACATGAGCCATATCCATATTGCTCAGAGCTAGAACACTGACCAAATCTAGAACCACACTGCTCAGAGCTAGATGAATGGCATGGGCCAGACCCATATTGTTCATAACTAGAACACTGACCTGAGCCAGACCCATGTCGGCTACAGCTAGAAGATCTACTTGAGCCAGACCTGTGTTGGCCATAGCTAGAAGACTGACCAGATCCAGACCCATGTTGCTCAAAGCCAGAAGACTGACCTGAGCCAGACCCATGTTGCCCAAAGCCACAAGACTGACCTGAGCCAGACGTATGTTGCCCAAAGCCAGAAGACTGACTAGATCCAGACTCATGTTCCCCAAAGCCAGAAAACTGACCTGAGCCAGACCCATGTTGCCCAAGGGCAGAAGACTGACCTGAGTCAGATCCATGTTGGCCATAACTAGAAGACTGACCGGATCCAGACCCATGTTGCCCAAAGCCAGAAGACTGACCAGATCCAGACCCATGTTGGCCATAACTAGAAGACTGACTGGATCCAGACTTATGTTTCCCAAAGCCAGAAGACTGACCAGATCCAGACCCATGTTGCTCAAAGCCAGAAGACTGACCTGAGCCAGACCCATGTTGCCCAAAGCCAGAAGACTGACCTGAGCCAGACTCATGTTGCCCAAAGCCAGAAGACTGACCTGAGCCAGACCCATGTTGCCCAAAGCCACAAGACTGACCTGAGCCAGACGTATGTTGCCCAAAGCCAGAAGACTGACTAGATCCAGACTCATGTTCCCCAAAGCCAGAAGACTGACCTGAGCCAGACCCATGTTGCCCAAGGGCAGAAGACTGACCTGAGCCAGATCCATGTTGGCCATAACTAGAAGACTGACCGGATCCAGACCCATGTTGCCCAAAGCCAGAAGACTGACCAGATCCAGACCCATGTTGGCCATAACTAGAAGACTGACTGGATCCAGACCCATGCTGCCCAAAGCCAGAAGACTGACCTAAGCCAGACCCATGTTGGCCATAACTAGAAGACTGACTGGATCCAGACTTATGTTTCCCAAAGCCAGAAGACTGACCAGATCCAGACCCATGTTGCTCAAAGCCAGAAGACTGACCTGAGCCAGACCCATGTTGCCCAAAGCCACAAGACTGACCTGAGCCAGACGTATGTTGCCCAAAGCCAGAAGACTGACCTGAGCCAGACTCATGTTGCCCAAAGCCAGAAGACTGACCTGAGCCAGACCCATGTTGGCCATAACTAGAAGACTGACTGGATCCACACCCATGTTGCTCAAAGCCAGAAGACTGACCTAAGCCAGACCCATGTTGGCCATAACTAGAAGACTGACTGGATCCAGACCCATGTTGATCAAAGCCAGAAGACTGACAAGATCCAGACCCATGTTGTCCACAGCCAGAAGACTGACCTGATCCAGATGCATGTTGACCATTACTTGATGACTGTCCAAAAGCAGAACCATGTTGTCCATAGTTAGAGGACTGATTATATCCAGACTCATGCTGTCCAGAGCTTGATGACTGACCTAAGCCAGATCCATGCTCAGTGCCAGAGGACTCTCCTGTGCTAGATTCATGTTGCCCAAAGCCAGAAGATTGACCTGATGCAGACCCATGATGACCATACCAAGGGGACTGACCTGAGCCAAATCTGTGTTGTCCATAGCCAGAAGACTGGCCTGATCCAGATGCATGTTGACCATAGCTTGATGACTGTCCAGAAGCAGAACCATATTGTCCATACCCAGAGGATTGACTTGAGCCAGAACCATACTGACCATGGCTAGAAGACTGTTCTGATCCAGACCTATGATGACCATAGCTAGAATATTGACCTGATCCAGACCCATGTTGCCCAAAGCCAGAAGACCGACCTGATCCAGACTCATGATAACCATATCTAGAGGACTGACCTGAGCCAGATTTATGTTGGCCATGGCTAGAAGACTGGCCTAAACCAGATTCATGTTGACTACAGCTTGATGTCTGTCCTGAAGCAGAACCGTATTGTCCATAGCTAGTGGATTGACCTGAGCCAGAACCATACTGACCATGGCCAGAAGACTGTCCTGATCCAGACCTATGGTGACCATAGCTAGAAGATTGACCTGATCCAGACCCATGTTGCCCAAAGCCAGAAGACTGAGCTGATCCAGACCCATGTTGCCCAAAGCCAGAAGACTGAGCTGATCCAGACCCATGTTGCCCAAAGCTAGAAGATTGACCTGACCCAGACCCATGATGGCCATAGCTAGAAGACTGACCAGATCCAGATTCATGATAACCATATCTAGAGGACTGTCCTGATCCAGACGCATGTTGACCACAGCTTGATGACTGTCCAGAAGCAGAACCATGTTGTCCATAGCTAGAGGGTTGGCCATATCCAGATTTATGCAGTCCAGAACTTGATGATTGACCTAAGCCAGATCCATGCTCAGTGCCAGAAGACTCTCCTGAGCTAGACTCATGTTGCCCAAAGCCAGAAGACTGACCTGATCCAGACCCGTGATGACCATTTCTAGAGGACTGGCCTAAGCCAGATCTGTGTCGTCCATAGCTAGAAGACTGGCCTGATCCAGACCTATGTTGGCTGGGGCTAGAAGACTGACCTGATCCTGACCCATGTTGTCCAAAGCCAGAAGACTGGCCTGTTCCAGATCCATGTCGCCTGGGGCTAGAAGATCGACTTGAGCCAGACCTATGTTGTCCATAGCTAGAAGCCTCTCTTGAGCCAGACCCCTGTTGGCTGTGGCCAGAAGATTGACTTGAGCCAGACCTATGTCGTCCATAGTGAGAAGACTCTCCTGAGCTGGACCCATGTTGGCTATGGCTATAAGACTGACTTGAGCCAGATCCATAGTGTCCACAGCTTGATGACTGTCCTGAAGTAGAACTATTTTGTCCATAACTAGAAGATTGGCCTAAGCCAGACCCATGTTGCCCAAAGCCAGAAGATTGACCTGAGCCAGATCTATGTTGTTCATAGCCAGAGGACTGACCTGATCTAAATCCATGTTGTCCACAGCTTGATGATTCACCTAAACTGGATCCTGAGCTAGACTCATGGTATTTCTCACTAGAAGACTGATTAGAACCAGGTCCATATTTTCCATAATTAGAGGACTGGCCTGACACAGAGCCATGATTTTTTCTTCCATAACCTCCTGACTGATGACTAGGGCTGCTGCTATGTTTTCTCTGAGTAAAGGGCTCATAGGAGCTTGATTGATTTTTGCCATTGCTTATGGACTGGCCTGATTCAGACCCATATCCCTCATAGCTTGAAGACTGTTTTTGTTGTCTACTAAGTCCTGATTGACCGCTTGAATTGGATCTATGTTGCCTCTGACCAGAAGAATGACTCTCAGACTTCTCTTGTTGATGAGAGCCATGCCTGTTTTTCTTACTGTCTTTGAAGTAGCCTGAACTTGAATCTCTCCTTCTTTCCCCAGAGCTTTGCCTATGCTCTGAACTAGATAAACCTCCTTGATGCTCCATTTCTCTGGAGCTGGACCCACGCCTGTGTTTAATGCTTCTTCTGGAGCCCCTGGAATAGGAATTATTCTCTCCTGTACTTGGCCTTGAATGACCTTGCCTTTTGTCCTTCTCTTCTGTTTCACTTTGTTCCTCTTGGTGCTGGTGATGGTGGTCTCTCTGCTTTGACCCTGAAGCTTGGCAGTGATCTTTGCTGATGATTTTATTACAAGCCTGAGCCAGTTTAAATATCATCAGAAGATACTCAATGAAATCCACTTTCTCGTCATGGTCTTGATCCAGATTTTGCATGATGATATCTACAGTGTCTGGATCATCTGGATTCTGTATAGGAACAAGGTACAAGGGGCAGCTATGTCACTATGGACTACATACCCAGCTAACCATTTGAAAGAAGATTGTAGAAATGTGAATGTTGGCTTACTTAGGTGGAGCTCAGCCATCTAGTCCTTTGGGCAGGACTGCTCTATCTTGAGCAGAAAGAAAGAAAGAAATATGTAATGAACAATGCAGTGAGAAATTGCTAGAAGATGCAAATGGAAGATGTTAGGGAACAAGGAAATCAATTATATTTTGTAAGAAATAGGTCAGATATGATTAGCTAATTTATAAATAGGAATTTTTAAAAAATGAAAAAAGAATAGGTCAGATATGAATGATTAGCATAATTATATATGACTTAAATTTTCCTAGCTATTAATTCATTAATTAATTAATTTAACAAAGATTTATTGTGCACTTACTAGCTGCTTAGCATTGAGTTAGGTACAGGGGATAAAGCAGTGAACAAGTTTGTTTTATGACAAAATGGAAGTTAAAGTTTAGTGGCACAGACACACAAACTTAAAATTACAGTGTACTGTGATAATGTTTCTGAAAGTACACCACAGGAGAACCAGTGGGGGTTCAAGGAAGGTTAATGAGAGAAAGTGATGTATTTTGAAGTATGGGTTAGACTTAGCCAAATGAAGGGGTAGGAAAGGAGGGAGAGAGGGCAAAAGATTGTTCCAGGCAGAAGGAACAATATGAACAAAGCTAGAGGTTAGAGGATGTATGGCTCATATGAAGAACTGAAAGAAATTCAGGATTATTAAATCTTGAGTCTCAGTAGTCAAGAGATATTGCTGGAGAAACAAATAGAGATCAGATCATGCCTTTTAAGTTGTGTAAAGGAACTTTGGACTTTATTTATTTTAAAGGCTGTGAGCTTTGGGGGCACCTGGGTGGCTCAGTCGGTTAAGCATCTGACTCTTGGTTTCAGCTCAGGTCATGATCTCAGGGTTGTGAGATGGAGCCCAGCTCCTCCCTCCTTCCCCCCTCACCCCTGGCATAAGCACTCTCTCTCTCTGTCAAAAAAAAAAAGGGGGGGAGATTTTGAAGGATTTTGAATTGAGCTGTGAAAAGATTAGATTTATACTTATGGCTGAGATCAGAAATAGAAGGTGGCCTGAGCTAGAGGAGTAGCAATAGTGATGGAGAGAAATGGGCTGTTTTGAGAGACTATTGATGAATTAGATGGAGGGTGGAGGATGGAGGTGCTTGCTGAGAGAAGAAGCCATGAATGGAACCAGATTTCTGCCTTGGGCAAATAGGAGGATAGAGTTTGGAGGGAAAATGATTTCATATCTGACACACCGAATTACACCCTTAGGAGTCCAAATAAGAAATATTTAGTAGGCAGCTGAATATAATGAATTGACAATCAAGAGCTAGATCTAAGCTCCCAAATATTTATTTTCAGAGCTGACATTTTAAGATGGTGGTCACCATATTTTATGATTTAAGAGTAAGATGCTAACTTCCTGAACTGAGGCCTTGTAGTTTCACAATCTCAGAAATGGGCAGTGGTCAGGATGTTCTGGGCTGAAGAACTACAAATAAAGGAAAGAAGATGCATTTTACGTACTTTTTTCCCTGAGAACCATCTTAATTTTTAATTCCATAAGAATTACACAGGACATTATATAATCTATGGATTTTGTCTGTTCAGTAGGATCACATCCCTTGGTCATGTTTTGGAAACCATGTGGGTCAACTTTTGATCGTATTTCAAGCCTTTACCAAACCCTGTTTTCTATCACCAAGTAGAGAGAGTCCTGTAGGAGTTTGACACATGTGACAAAAAGGTACGAAGGGGTGAAAAAGAGAATTGCAGCTGTCTTCAGTCCTGACCTGGAATTCTTACCTTCAGAATTTGATGAAACTCATTTTCCAAAAGTTCTTTCAGTTCTGCCTTGTTCAACATGTCACACTCCCCATCCTGGGTGGCATATTGGTAGAAAAGCTCAATGACAGTGACGATACTTTTTAGGAGTTTAGGCATTTTTTTTGTAAATTTAACCTAAAGGAAAAAAAGGAGAGACCCACCTTTTATTATTCCTTTTTCTTGTTTAAAAACATAAATAGTTCCAATCATTTGTAATATTTGTTCAGAATTAATTGAGCATGATTAATTTCATCTTTTGAAATTAAGAACCAATCCAGAGTTGAAAGACTTGTTCAAGCCATGTAGCAAGAGAGTGATGAAATTAGGAACAGAATCTATATCTCTTATTTTCATTCCTGAACGAATGTAGGAGCAAAGACTTCCTGTTTTGAGCTCCCCACCTCTACCAGGGATAATTTTATGAGCATTGTTCTGGAGCTAGAGAAATACTGGGTGTGCCAATCTACCCACTTCCTCAATTCCTCTCTAGGTGCCAACCATTGCTGAAGAGGGACAGTTCCATCGTCCACATGGTATGCCTGACTCCAACCAAGGGATACCAATGGCTAAGCTAGACCCTCAAAACTTGTAGGCCAGAGAAAGTACACAAAGTGGGCAACTACAGGCCTAGGTGATATGGAGCTGGAGGCAGGTGCTATCAGGCCCACTTCTGTTTTCATTCTCCAAACAGGGACTGACTCTCAGGCTTTACTGATTATACAACAGAGAGAAAAAACTCAGTAGTTTAGGAAGCAACCTGCCTAGTGATAATTAAAGCCACACGATCTTCAAGGAAAGGACCCTGAAGAAAGAAGGTACTGTCATTCCCAGTCATCTCTTTATTTTCCTTCTCAATAAAGTTAAAATTATATCAAAGTCCCCAAAGTACATTAAAAAGAAGCCTGGTATCCAGTGCCTCTTTGCCTTAGAGCACATACTGGATTCTTTTAATTTGTAGCCCAAAGTACTCCTGTTCACTTACCTAGTTCACCAGAGAAACAAGTAGGATGAGACTAGAGCAGCTTACAGGGTGCTGCTAGTTGGGGATAGTGGCCTTTTTATAGAGGAAATAATGGTCCATCTTAGGGAGGAGCTCCTCTTTGAGATGTTCTGATTCACTTCCAAATAAGCCCAACTCTGCCTCCACCTCCATCTCCACCTCCCAGGTGTTTGCCTTCTTACTTCCTTACATGTTCACCTGAGATTGCATTAGCAGTTCCCAAATCTGGGCTAGTATCAGCCCCACCTGCCAGAGTCTCTGGACACTGCAGAAAGACCTCTTTGCGTATTCAACAAAGTATCTAGCATAATGCATTGATAACCAATTATATGGACTTTAATTGAAGTTGAATGGAATGTGTGCAGAAACATCAGGGACCGAATGTCCAAGAATCATGGAATCTGATGTTTAAAAGGAACCTTAAGGATCATGCAGTCAAACTCTCTCATTTTGAGCTACATTTTCTTGTATGGATTTCCAGCCAAAGTATCATCCATGATATTATTACCCATGATATTATTACCATTCCTCTTGAATCGATAATGACTGTAGAGGCCTTCTTGTCTCTTTACCTAAACTTATTTACTATACCTTAGTGGCCATTCATCAATGTAGCTTTCATTTTAACCACTATATAACCTTAGAAAGAAATCCATGCTCTTTAGCATGGTATCCAAGGTTATTCATGATCTGGACTGTGGCTTCTTTCTAGCCCCGTCTCTTCTCTCCCTGTTCTTTATGCTTCACCAGTAATTAATTACTTAAGCCTTCCTGAATATACCATCCTATTTCATGTTTTTTCTTGGAATATCTTTCCTCATTATCTGCCTAGTGAACTGCTATTCATTTTTCAAAACCTACTTTAGATATCCTGTAGGAAATATTTCTTGAATTACTCAAGAGAGTTATAGTTGTGTACCTTATTCATAGTTTTATTGTAGTATCAATCATTCTATATTATAAAATATTTTAAAATTGTTTTACTATTGTAATTAATGTTTAATATAAAAAATTACAAAATACAGATAAGCAAAGCAAAGCAAATGAAATAACCTTCCTACCCAGAAATAGCTACAACAATAGTTATTTGGTGTATATCCTTTCTTACCAATGGATGTGTATGCACACCGTATGTATCTGTCTATGTGTTTATATCACTTCTATTCTGTGAGTTCCTTGAAAATAGGGAATGGGCATTATTATTACCTATATCACTGGGGGACTCAGCACATTGCTTGGCTCATAAAAGTCCCCAGTAAATGTCAAATTAAATTGAAAGAAGAGTGAGGGTCATGACTATAGTACTTGGCATTGACCAACTTCTACTTTTTCACAAGATTGGGGTCTACCCTCTCTCTTGCCATCTTTACCTCAGAGGACATGATTTCACCTGAATAGAAACTGAATCTTAACATTGGGAATCAACAAGTGGCTTTCTGCTTATCCCTGCGACCTTAAGCTCTGCATTTCATCCACTGTGAATTGTATGTATAGCACGAATGTCATTGAAGCTGGGTGAAGTCACATAGACTTGAAGCTTGTGCAATATAGTCATTAGGATTTGGGAAGGAGTGGTAACAACTATTAGTAAATGATAAATTACATGATTCCAAATTCAACCATTATGACACTGTTTTCTTCTAAGAAGTACCCAGAGGGCTGCAGAGTCAGTATCCATTCTGTGGCTGTGTTTCCTCTGGATGCCTGATTTGGGCCAGACTGTCATGCTTCCATCAGAAGAGGGAGCTTTTTGAAGGTGTGACTGAGACTGTGGGAGTGCAGGGGAGGTAGAGTTTGCTGAGTGAAGACTAATTTCCTGTAGGAGACAGTTGTTGCCACAGAAGGAAGAGGGAGTTGCTGGTAAAGACTATTCCAGGTGAAACATGCTCTTAGAGCCAGTGTTCTCCTAAATGAGGGGTTAGCACAATTTTTCTGTAAAGGGAAAGATAGTATATCTTTTAGGCTTTGTGGGACAGTCTTTTTTGCAGCTACTCAGCTATGATCTGGTAGCATGAAAGCATTCATAGATGATAGGTAAACAAATGAGCATGCCTGTGTTTCAGTAAAACTTATTTATTGACACTGAATTATTGACAATTTAAATTTCTTTTTTTATTAACATATAATGTATTATTTGTTTCAGGGGTACAAATCTGTGATTCATCAGTCTTACATAATTCACAGCGCTCACCATAGTACATACCCTCCCCAATGTCCATCACCTGGCCACCCCATCCCTCTCACCCCCCACCACTTTAGCAACCCTCAGTTTGTTTCCTGAAATTAAGAGTCTCTTATGGTTTGTCTCCCTCTCTGGTTTTGTCTTGTTTCATTTTTCCCTCCCTTCCCCTATAATACTCTGTCTTGTTTCTCAAATTCCACATATCAATGAGATCATATGATAGGCAATTTAAATTTCTTACTTTCACATGTCACAATGGATGAATGTGAATCCTGACCCTCCTATGCATTTGCTTGTCAGGAAGATTCCCCAGGAGAGGAGAGTCTCAGAGGGAAGAGAAGGGCTGGGAAGTGTGGGGCAGCAGAACCATGAATTCCTGTGGGAGAGAGAAGTCAAACTCTCTCATTTTGAGCTACATTTTCTTGTATGGATTTCCAGCCAAAGTATCATCCATGATATTATTACCCATGATATTATTACCATTCCTCTTGAATCGATAATGACTGTAGAGGCCTTCTTGTCTCTTTACCTAAACTTATTTACTATACCTTAAATTTACTATACCTTACTAAACCTGCAGGTCTGTTTGTGAGTGTCAGTGTGCATGAGGTGGTAGGGAAAGGGAACAAAACTAGGGACTTTTGGGCACTTGTGAAAGAGAGGTAAATTTTGACTTTATGTAAGGAAGAAGTTTTAACCTCTGCATTGACTGAAAATGCATTGAGCTCTTTGCAAAGTAATTGAATTAATTGTGATGGGCATTAAAGAAATTTCCATGTATCATAGAAACAGTTTTAACCCTTTCAGGGCTACATTTTCTGAATATCCTCCAACATCACCAACCAGAGATTTGTTGGACTTTATTTCCGGGGTTCATGTCCTGAAAATAAGAGGCATATTCAATGTGTGTTTTGGCATCTTCATTCCCTTTTGAACATTACTAATGTAAGAGTTGGACTAGATTATCACAAAAATCCTTTCCCAAACAGAGAGTCATGATTTTACCAGAGTATGTGCTCCACAGTAAAAGGGTGGGCATGAAGACTCCCACCTCATAAGTCTGGTTCATGGTTTTCCCCTTGGAGATGACAGTGTTTGGGAAAATAAATTTCTTTTTTTTTTAATTTAATTGTATTTATTTATTTGACAGACAGAGAGACAGGGAGAGAGGGAACACATGCAGGGGCAGTGGGATAGGGAAAAGCAGGCTTCCTGCCGAGCAGGGAGCCTAATAATGCAGGGCTCCATTCCCAGAACCCTGGGATCATGACCCGAGCTGAAGGCAGACGCTTAACGACTGAGCCACCCAGGCACCCCAGGAAAAGAAATTTCTTATGCTATGTGCCACATTCTAGGTTTTTTAGTACCTCCAGATTTTGGCAGAAGAAAATTGCGTTCTCCTTTATGCCAAGCACAGTGCTTTGCACACTTACGTTCATCATTTTATTAATCCTCACAACCGCTATATGACGTAGGGTTCTTACCTCCATTTTGCAGATGATAAAACTGAGGCTCAGAGAAAATATGTAACTTGTTTTAAGTCACTTAGTTATTAAATGGAAAAGATGGGATTCACACTCAAATCTGCTTCTTCCTAGGAATAGCCAGAGAATACGGGACTATTCATGTCTTAGAAAAGGCAGGGTTTGGGGGGCTGTTCTTGAAAAATGAAGTGTTTGACCTAAAACAACAACAACAACAACAAACAACAACAAAAAACAACCAAGAATCACGGGGCGCCGGGGTGGCTCAGTCGTTAAGCGTCTGCCTTCGGCTCAGGTCCTCATCTCAGGGTCCTTTTTTTTTTCCCTTTTATTTATTTATTTATCAGCGTCCTGGGATGGAGCCCCGCATTGGGCTGCCTGCTCAGTGGGGAGCCTGCTTCTCCCTCTCCCTCTCCCTCTGCCTGCTGCTTCCCCTGTTCTCTCTCTCTCTCTCTCTCTGTGTCAAATAAATAAATAAAATCTTACAACAAAACAAAACAAAAAAACAACCAAGAATCAAAACTGGTGAAGATAAACAGTGTAGTTCTCTTCCTGCCCCAGGGCACTCACTTTCACCCTTGTCCAGAAGGTAATGTTCTTATAGCACCATCTGCTGGGTCTTAGGAAAACTCTTTTCCTCGCCCTTTCTTTCCTCTTCTCTCACATCCCCCATGCCTTTCCTGGCAATTCTTCATAGCTTAGTCTTTATGAATGAGGAAACTACATAATAACCAGGGACATAACAAACAGAGAATGTTGATGCTCATGACTTTGGGTTAAGGGAAGTCAAAAGAAGTTAGCTAAAACCGGTTTCCCTCCATATTCTTCTTCCTAGGTGCAAGGGTCATTTTTCTCTTATCTCAAAAAATCAAAAATAAATGTAATTTTATAGCTTAGTATCTATTCTCTAGGGAGTGGAGCAGGCATGGTGATATATCTTTTAGCTCCAGCCCCAGGCCCTGGAACATACTCTGCTTGAGTATTGGTCTTCCTCTTCAGCTGTTTCTCTCTCTCCTGTTGGTATTTTCCCTTTGCTCCTCCAAGTTCTAAAAAATGCTCCAGATGCTGGGAACCCAGAGCTCATTCTTACTTGTATCCTCTTATTTATTCTGTCAATATCTTTCTCTAGTGTGTGTTCATCTCCTTAATTTGCCTTTTTAAAAAAAATTTATTTATTTATTTTTATTCTTATGTTAATCCCCATACATTACATCATTAGTTTTAGATGAAGTGTTCCATGATTCATTGTTTGTGCATAACACCCAGTGCTCCATGCAGAATGTGCCCTCCTCAATACCCACCACCAGGCTAACCCCTCCTCCCACCCTCTAGAACCCTGTTTGTTTTTCAGAGTCCATCATCTCTCATGGTTTGTCTACCCCTCCGATTTCCCCCGCTTCATTCTTCCCCTCCCGCTACCTTCTTCTTCTTCTTTTTTTCTTAACATATATTGCATTATTTGTTTCAGAGGTACAGATCTGAGATTCAATAGTCTTGCACAATTCACAGCGCTTACCAGAGCACATACCCTCCCCAGTGTCTATCACCCAGTCACCCCATCCCTTCCACCCCACCCCCCACTCCAACAACACTTAGTTTGTTTCCTGAAATTAAGAATTCCTCATATCAGTGAGATCATATGATACATGTCTTTCTCTGATTGACTTATTTCACTCAACATAATACCCTCCAGTTCCATCCACGTCGTTGCAAATGGCAAGATCTCATTCCTTTTGATGGCTGCATAATATTCCATTGTATATATATACCACATCTTCTTTATCCATTCATCTGTCGATGGACATCTTGGCTCTTTCCACAGTTTGGCTATTGTGGACATTGCTGCTATAAACATCGGGGTGCACGTACCCCTTTGGATCCCTACTTTTGTATCTTTGGCGTAAATACCCAGTAGTGCAATTGCTGGATCATATGGTAGCTCTATTTTCAACTTTTTGAGGAACCTCCATACAGTTTTCCAGAGTGGCTGCACCTGCTTGCATTCCCACCAACAGTGTAGGAGGGTTCCCCTTTCTCCGCATCCCCGCTAACATCTGTCGTTTCCTGACTTGTTCATTTTAGCCATTCTGACTGGTGTGAGGTGGTATCTCATTGAGGTTTTGATTTGGATTTCCCTGATGCTGAGTGATATTGAGCACTTTTTCATGTGTCTGTTGGCCATTTGGATGTCTTCTTTGGAAAAATGTCTGTTCATGTCTTCTGCCCATTTCTTGATTGGATTCTTTGTTCTTTGGGTGTTGAGTTTGATGAGTTCTTTATAGATTTTGGATACTAGCCCTTTATCTGATATGTCATTTGCAAATATCCTCTCCCATTCTGTCGGTTGTCTTTTGGTTTTGTTGACTGTTTCCTTTGCTGTGCAAAAGCTTTTTATCTTGATGAAGTCCCAATAGTTCATTTTTGCCCTTGCTTCCCTTGCCTTTGGCGATGTTTCTAGGAAGAAGTTGCTTCGGCTGAGGTCAAAGAGGTTGCTGCCTGTGTTCTCCTTTAGGATTTTGATGGACTCCTGTCTCACATTGAGGTCTCTTAATTTGCCTTTTAATGCTCTTGTTGGCATGACCATTCATAGTCTGTATCTCTTGTTGTTGCCTACCTGAGGCTTTCTGCATGTAGATCTGGCCCATCATAGCAAGCAGTTGGAGGAGAGTGATGAAAGTGGTTCTCAAGGACCCTCCAAGTGTTATAAAGGTGATACAGAACACCTGTTAGCATGGGTGGTATTGGGGTGACAGCTGAGCTTCAGGTATGGGGAAGGAAGAGGTAAGACATAGAGTCCTTGGTTGTTGGAAGTCAGATCTAGAGCCTTTGCCTGTGTGTGTGTGTGTGTGTGAGAGAGAGAGAGAGAGACAGAGACAGAGACAGAGAGAGAGAGGGGAGGGATACTTTTTAAAAGTTTTTATTTAAATTCTAGTTAGTTAACATATAGTGTAATATTAGTTTGAGGTGTATAATATAGTGATTCAAAAATTCCATATATCACCTAGTGCTCATTATGATAAGTGCACTCCTTAATCCCCATCACCTATTTCACCCATCCCCCCACCCACCTCCTCTCTGGTAACCACCAGTGTGTTCTCTATAGTTAAGAGTCTGTTTCTGTTTCTTGGTTTCTCTCTCTCTTTTTCTGAGAGGGTTGGATACTTTAGTGTGAATGTGATGAGTATGACACTGATCAGGCCCTATTTCCTCTTTGGCTTTCTCTCCTCCAGGTCTCTCTCTCATCATGGACTCTGCTGAAGCCATAGTACTTCCTTGTTATTCACCAAAACCTCCAGGCATACTCTTTCCTTAGGACTGTTTTCAGGAATGCTTTCCTCCCAAATATTCACTTTGTTTTATCCTTTATGTCCTTCAAGTGCTTGTTCAAGTATCATCTTCCCTGACCACTCCATTTGGCATGTACTTCTAACACACTGCATAGTCAGCTTATTTATATTGCAGGGTTTTGAGTAGAGGAGAGACAAGATATGACTCACTGCTATGGTGATGCTTGACCGTAGGGAGATGAGGTGAACAAGGAAGATCAGTCAGGTGAGAGGCAAGGGAATGGACGTAATCAAGGCTCCGGCTTGGATGACTGTGTGAATGGTGGTGTACATACTAGGAAAAGCAATAAAAGAGAAAGAGAAGGCTTGAGATGAGGGGACTGATGATAAGTTGTCATCTAATTTATGCCCATTATCTAACTTTTTCCACTCCTTCATAACCTACCTCCTTAAAAGAGCACTGAGCACTCCCTGTCCCTCACCTTCCATTTACTTTTCAACACTTTACAATCTGATTTTCACACCCTCTTTCAGGCTTTTTTGAGGGTTCCTCTTTCTTGGCCAGTGCTTAAATGTTTTTGTTCTCCAGAGCTCTGTCATTAGTTCTCTGCATTTTTGGATCAGTCTCCAGTCTTACCATTTATAAAGTTGGGTAATGGAGCAGGAAAGAGGCAAGACATATTGTTCACAAATTTTTATTGGCAATTTTTATGCATCTGCATAGTCTGAAACCAGAGACTTGGACGCTTGGGCTGTAAACTCAAAGGAATTGCCGTCACAGTGATGTGATGATGCTGTAACACCTAATACATCTTAAAGAGTCATGTGTAATACCAAAATTTGCAGAAACATTAGAACTTGAACTCTCATCTTTAACACTCTAATGAACCCCACACAACAACATTTTTTATAGTATTATTAAAATTTAAACTTACACTGCTAACATATGCTGAGGAGGACAAATATACACTATCCTTTAAAAGAAGATTAACACTAAGTAGAAAGATTAAAGTAGATTTACATATTTAAAGAAAAGGAGAGATAACTGTCCTCAAAAAGAAGTTTTTACAATAAATTCCTGTGCTTTATGTTTTTCTTCTCATGTCTTCATTTAGTTCATCTTCTGTTGGTGTCTTAAGATAATGAACCCTTTGTTTGTGGATGTATTTATAGAGTGGAATGTTGGTACAAAAAATAGTTAAATCTTGCTTTTTGCTTGCTTCCATTGTTACCTGTTGTCTCAGAGCTGCCATCTTGATAAATATCCTCATCCTGTCTGTACCTTCCACTGTCCCTCAGCTGACTATGGCCAGATTCCTATCTACACCTTCCACTAAGTCCCTTGGTTTTGGTACTAAATGACTTGTAATAGCTGTATTCTCCTATTCTTTTTTTTTTTTTTAACGATTTTATTTATTTGAGAGAGAGAGTGTGAGACAGAGAGAGCACAAGAGGGGGGAGTGGGAGAGGGAGAAGCAGACTCCCTGCTGAGCAGGGAGCCCGATGCGGGACTGGATCCCGGGACTCCAGGATCATGACCTGAGCCGAAGGCAGTTGCTTAACCAACTGAGCCACCCAGGCGCCCTGTATTCTCTTATTCTTTTTGGGCCTTTGCTGTCACTAGATTGGTAAGAACTGGAGATGTGATCGCCACTTTTGTGAACATTTTTTTTTTTTGAAGATTTTATTTATATGTCAGTGAGAGAAAGAGAGAGAGCG